GGGTGCACCATGACACTTGCATACCCCACCCCCACCGAATAGATGAATGAATGAACAATTGTAATTTTTTTTTAATGAAAAAGGGCTAGAGGGCACAGTTCGGGTGAGAGGACACTTGCTTAACAAGCAAGAGGCCCTAGGTCACTGCCCAATGCTGTTAAAACAGGCAAACAGGTCACAACTGCAGTGACTTCATATTACTCATTAAGGATCATAATCTGCAATTTAAAAAAGTACCGGTGAGAGCTTGGACAGTATCTGCATGTATGAGGACTTGACGTCAACTCAGAACCCATGCTGAAAAGCACGTGTGTTGGCATGTGCCTGTAATCTTAGTGTTGGAGCCATGGAGACAGACAGAGCCCCAGGGTTCTCTCGCCAATCAGTCCAGCCAAAACAATGACCCAGACTCCAAGGAGGAGACTGTCTAAAAAAAGTAAGTGGACAGCCATCCTGAGAAAGAACACACTGTGCAGACGTGTATGTGCAACACACACACACACACACACACACACACACACACACACACACACACTGATAGAGAGGTGCTAAGGAATGAGAAAGGAACCTTGAAAACTTAGCTTCCCTCAGGGGTCTGGAGTGTAAGCCCTGCAATTCCATGTTTCTGAGCCAGGTCTCTGGCCTCACCTGACCTAATAAGAACTGCACCAGCTCCAAGATGTTCCACACAGGCAGGCATCCGGCTCTCAGACTATAACACGTGTCCTAGATTCTGAACCCAAATACTCTCACCCACATCTCTTCCTTTCCACTGGTCTACAACATTTATTCTTTCTTGGACAACTTAAGAGTCCAAGGTCCATCATCATAACCACACCCTTAAAAAGATATGCAGTTCCCATGTCTTTTCTTCACTTTACTGTGCCCCCCAGTAAAACCCCAAATCTTGGCAAACAAGGAGTCTTTACTGCACACGCACTAGTGCGGGACCATGGATGGGAATAACTCCGTACGCACTGAGGGCATCTCGAATGTCACCAGTCACTTAGCGCTGTCTACCTTCTCCAGGGATCGGTTAGAAACGAAGATTCTCAGGCCTCAGCCAGGCCTGCTGAGTTAGAACCTTGGTGGGAGGGTCCACGACGATTTAACCAGATCCTTAGGTGATTCTCCTGCAGGTTCTGAAAGCTGGTCTAGCTTCACACTTCATTGAGAAACCTCCTTCGGGTTTACAGTTCCTGTTCATATACATCTGAAGAAGAGGTGCCTGGCACAGGCCCCTGTGAGGGTGCTTAGTCACACTGCTAGATGGGATCGCCCTCACTTCCCTAACAGCAAATAGAAGAACCCACCTGCACGTATGCCAGTTGCTTGCCAGCCCGCCCGCTCCTTCCCTCTTCTCCCCCCCCCACCCCATTTCTTGAGACAGGGTTTCTCTGTGTAACCTTGGCTGTCCCACTCTGGAGACCAGGCTGGCCTTGAACTCAGAGATCTGCCTGCCTCTGCCTCTCAAGTGCTGGGATTAGAGATGTGCACCACCGCCCGGTTCCTTCCTTTGTCCATCCTAGGCACTGCTCTTCATCCTGTCAAAGGCTGGGATTTCCATGTATAGACTGAACTTCATCCTGGAAGTACCACTTCTGGCTCCACAGATTTACTTAATATAGGCTTTTCATATGACTACATTTCTATAATATGTGGTCTGTAGTACGGCCTTCGGCTACCATATTTTCAAGGTTCATCTACACTGTTGTGTGTATAAGTGCTTTGCTCCTTTTAATGGTTAAAAGATATTCCACTCAGAGGTTCTGGAGAGATGGCTCGGCAGCCTAAGAGCGCCTGGGTGTGATTCCCAGCTCCCATAGGGCAGCTCACAACCATCTGCAACTCCAGTTCCAGGGGATCTGATGCCCTCTTCTGACCTCTACTGTACCAGGCACACACATGGTACAGATATACATGCTGGCAAAGCACCCCTACTCATAAAAGGATATTAAAAAAGTATTGTTCTCTGTATCTGCTGCATTTTATTTTTGCTGTGATGCACATCCATACACAAGCCTTTGTGTGGATGTGTGCTTTCATTTCTAAGGCATATACCTAGGATAAGAAATGCCGAGCCATAGTAACAACTTTATATTGAATTTCAGGGTGCTGCCAAAGCAACCGTATCATTCTGTACCCACTCAGCAATATACAGAGCCCCGGGGTCCGATGGCACACTAATGCTTTCTGTCACCCTTCTCTTCTAGGGGAGAGAGGAGCAGCTAGGGATTGAACTCGGTCTGTGCACACTAGGCAAGCATTCTACCCGCCCCCACGCAATTCATTTTGAATTGGTGTTTTTTTTTTTTTTTTGAATTGGTGTTTTTATATATGAGGATCAAACTTAATTTTTTCCCCGTCCCATCTTTTCAGATGGTTTCCCTCCCATTAAGTCATCTTGGCACCCGTCACTGAAGACTTTGCTTACATGCTATTAGTTAAGGATTCCTTTTTCTCCCCATTTGACCCCTGACAGTCTTTCCCTCCTACAATCAATCAACTCCCTCGACTCTCCTCTTAAGTTCCTCTATCTTTTCAACCTTCTTTGGGGGTGGGGGAGGGCGGGGGTTGTTACTTGTTTTGAGACAGGGTCTCACTGTGTAGCCCTGGCTGGCCTGGAACTCCCTCTGTAGGTCAGGTTGGACTGACTCACAGACCGCCTGCCTCTGCCTCTGGAGTACTGGGATTATTCGCTACCACGCCTGGCTCTTTTTAGTCTCTATAGGTTCCTATCTTCTAGCAAGCTTTAAAAATACCGAGTTTTCAGTTACAGTGGTTACAGTGTAAAAATACCGAGTTACAGTTACAGTGGTCTAACAAATTATGACAAAACTCAGTGGCATAATAAAGTCATTTATTATACTATAGTTTCTTTTGCTCAGGATTTCAGATGGGCACAGTGGAGTTCCCATCTCTGTTCTATGACATCTGAAGCCTCAGGCGGAGCTCTGTGCACTTACACGTCAGGTAGCTGATGATGGCTGCTAGCTGTGGGCAGGGGCCTCAGTTCATATCCATGTGACCCTGTACATGCCGTTTCTCCAAGTTGGCTGGTTTGGGCTTCCTCACAGTATGGCTTCTGTGTTCCAAGAACGAGCAATCTAGGAGAGAGAGGAAGAAAGCAAGAAGCCAGGAGAGCCAAAGAGCCTACTTTTGCCCTAAAAGAGAAAGAAAAAAGAAAAATCGTCCCCAAGTCTTGGCACATGTAAAGGAAGAGTAACAAACTTTATGTGAAATGACAAGGTTCTAAAATAGCGTGGGGCCTGCAGCTAGGACTCCATGGCAAAGCACTTGAGTAGCATGCCCGAGGCCCCGGGTTAGAGCCATGCATGCAAATACAAAATGTGGGATGAGAAACACCGCTGTGGCCTGCTACACAGAAACAGTCTGCCACAGCCTTCTGATCACAGTTCACCACATGCACACAGGCCCCACTTCCCCCCCGCCACAGTGTCTCCCCAAAACTCATTCACAGTGGCGTCAGGCTCAGGCTTGAAAGTCAAGACCTCTCTATGTGCTAGTGAGAGGCCATGATACAGTGCCTCGTCTACAACTGCACTTAACCTGGAAACTGGCACTAACAAGGCAAATACTCCTGCCCCACTTTCCACAGCATATAAAACGGCACAGAGCAGCCTTCCCGCTCCAGAGGAGAAAGCCGTTGTCTCGATTCTCCCTCTGTGATTACAACTCTAAAGAACATCTGCATGTTTGTGATTCCTGACTTCTAACATCTGAGCACCTCTCTGAAAATCCAGTTAATCACTGCATAGCTTTATGAACTATCTCGTCACTGTTTCCAGCTTAACTCTTGTTTTCTACATTAACTCACATCCTCAAACCTCTTGTCCTGGCTCCTGTCCTCCACGGAGCTGCTCACAGACTCAGGGACTCCCTCCCAGTCCTCCAGCCATTCACTCACCTCGACACAACTGTCAGAAAGTTCTCCAAAATATACCCTTCTCCTCCTCTCCCTCCTCCTGCCCCTCCTCCTCCTGCTCTTCCTCCTCTGTCCTTCCTCCTTCTCTGTCCTTCCTCCTTCTCTGTCCCTCCTCCTGCCCCTCTTCCTCCTCTGTCCCTCCTCCTCCTCTGTCCCTCCTCCTGTCCCTCTTCCTCCTCTGTCCCTCCTCCTGCCCCTCCTCCTCCTCTGTCCCTCCTCCTGCCCCTCCTCCTCCTCTGTCCCTCCTCCTGCCCCTCCTCCTCCTCTGTCCCTCCTCCTGCCCCTCTTCCTCCTCTGTCCCTCCTCCTGCCCCTCTTCCTCCTCTGTCCCTCCTCCTGCCCCTCTTCCTCCTCTGTCCCTCCTC